AGACCCCAAAACTGCCTTCACAGAGACCCCAAAACTGCCACAGCCCCAGGGGAAAAACATCACCCTTCTGGTCGGTTCCCACTGGGCATTCCAGGACCTCTGCCAGTGGGATTCACGAGGGCAAAGCCACCAGGTCTGGAATGGGACACAACATCGGGAGGGCAAAGGCAGCAGAGATGCTGAGTAAGGGAAAAGATACAGGGAAAACAATTCCTGCCCTGCAGTGCCTCTGTCAGAACAGATCCCTCCTGATTTGGAGGACAAAAAAAGGTGAAATTTGGGTGAATTCATCCCCTTTTGGAGCAGGGAAGTGTCCCCTCTGATTGGGCTGGGCAGGTGGAGGCACATCCTGCCTTCAGCTACAGGAGAATTCCTTGGAATGAGCAGAATGTCCCACAGTGGGGAGTTTCTTTCCTAATTCAGACCCTTCCACAGACAACAACCATCACTCTGTGCTCTGACAGAAGGGCTGGAGCACAGTCCTGGTGACTCACGTACCCCAAACCAGCAGTGACAGCATTTCCAGGTGACTGGCACAGACCCCCAGCACAGAGGAGCCCCCCTAAGCACATCTCCCCAGAAATCCAGGTCAGGGAATTAAAATTCACGGGATAAAAGCTCCTTCTGGCCTTCAAATCCAGGGACCCATTTATCCACCTTCCCTCCCTGATCTCCCGTCTGAGCAGGATTAACCAGAACCTTTCCCTTAATTTAAAGCAGCTTCTTCTCACTGACCACTCAAAGCTGGGGTTTTTTCCCACTGTGCTCCCCAGAGAAATCTGGGAATGGCTGCAGAGAACTCCACGTTTCCGAGCAGACACTTTTGGTTTTCTCTGATGAGACTCAGGGCTCCTCCAGGTGTGTTTTCAGCTGCTGCTGTGGCAGATGTGGGGTCTGGCTCCACTCAGACTCAGATCAGCACCAGCTGAGGTCAGTGCTGCCCTCCCCACATCCCACAGGCTCCCAGGGGTTCCTCCCACCAGGGCTGGGACTCGCAGGACCAGATGGGGAGCTGGGTCAGGGAAAAGATCTCCAGCCATCTCCACTCCACAAAAAAAGCTGCTAGTTTGAAAAATGAGGCTTTGGCATTAAGTGCAGATGTGAAAACACCCTCTCAGGAGGGACAGAGCTCGGCAGGGCTGAGAGGGAGCAGATAAATCACTGGAGCAGCCGGCGAGGAAATTGCCTTTGAGGAAATGGAGGGAGTGAAACGGGATCTGTCTATGGGATATCCGTGCAGGGAGAGTGATTCCCTGTCCCCACGGAATGCTCCTCAGAGCCAGCCCAGCTCATGACACCTGGGCACTGCAGGAGAGCCCAGGAGAGAAGGGAGAGCCAAGCCAGGGGTCTGGAGAGAGCCACAGGATCCCAGAGTGGTTTGGGTGGGAAGGGACCTTATAAACCACCCAGTGCTGCTCCAAGCCCCGTCCAGCCTGGCCTGGGACACTTCCAGGGATCCAGGGGCAGCCACAGCCTCCCTTCCCTCCCTTCCCACCCAAGGCAGTCTGTCATTCCATGACCCTCCTGTGACTGGGACCCCCAGCAGGAGTGTCCCGGGTCAGTGAGGGGACGTGGGAGACACTGGATGCAAACCCCGAGCCCAGCCCCAAATGGCAGTGGCTGGGGGGGGGTCCCATGTGGAATCACAGACAGCAGAGCAGGACACTCCTCACGGGGGTCACTGACCCCAGCAACCAGAACAGCCCCAAATCACAGAACATGGTTTGGGCTGAAGGGACCTGAGACCTGGGCCCTTCCCTGCCCTGAGGCCAAACATCACAGCATGGGAAAAATGGATGAGCCTCCAGAGGACAACTGTGGCCTTCCAAAGACATGGATTCATGGAAACATGGGATGTCCTGAGAGGGGAGGGACCCACAGGGTCTCCTTTTCCTCAGAGAGAGATTTGAGGCCCCAAACTCTCAGACAAACCAGAGCTGGGTAAAAGCTGAATCCAGCCCTAAATGGTGAAATGAAGGCAGCATTAAAAATGTAAAAAATGCTGCACAAGAAAATGGAAAAAAAAAAACCCCATAAAAGCTTTAACAGCTGATGTAAATTATACATGAACGTTTCTGAGGAGCACCAAATGATGAGAGAAGCTAAAAACCTTGTGGGGGGAAAATCGTGTCTGGCAGGGCTGAAACCACTGAAAAGGAGGGTTTGAGCAGGACACAAATATCAAAACCAAAACAAAGCCTGGAGGCAGCGTCACTGCTTCGGGTCACGGGGGTGAAACTCTGAGCAGGGGCTGAGGAATTCGTGTCTCTGCTCTGGCTCTGACTCACAGCACTTCCCCTCGGAGTTTCTCTCAGCAGACAGGGAAGTACTGGCACTAATAATGAGAAAAGGTGTTAAAAGTATCTACTAGAACTTCTATTTTTAGATCAGCAGGCTGGGGAACTTGCAGCTTAAAAAATAATTACCTGAGTGAGGAGCTACAGGGTGCAGGGAGGGGAATTTTTAATGGAGCTTGGAGAGCCCAGGACTGGGATGTGGATATTCAAACAGGGAGGAAAGACAACTTAAATAAGAGAAGCTCTGGGGTGACCTGATTGTGACCTTCCATTACCTAAAGAGGACAACAGGGAAGATGGAGAGACACCATTTCCAAGGGCCTGGAGAGACAGGACAAGGGGGTGAGGTGGGGAGGGCCTGGCACAGGTTGCCCAGAGGAACTGTGGCTGCCCCTGGATCCCTGGAAGTGTCCCAGGCCAGGTTGGATGGGGCTTGGAGCAGCCTGGGATAATGGGAAGTGTCCCTGCCCATGGCAGGGGGTGGCACTGGATGGGCTTTGAAGCCCCTTCCCACCCAAACCATTCCAATATTTCTGATTGTCTGATCTGGCCCTGCCATCAGTTCACTCAGAGCCACAGAAATGCTGACACAGGACCCAGCCCCTGACACAGGTGACACAGGAGCTGCAGAACTCCATGGAAAGGAAGTCCTGACATAAAAGAAGCTGATTTTGTTATCTGAATGTACAACAGGTTTGGCTCCTGAAGGGAACTGCACAGATGTGAGAGATTTTCACAGCAGAGGATTTACCCACAACATCCTCATTACCCAGTTACCACAGGAGGAAACAAATCCACAGAGGAAGAGCTGGATGGCTGAGAGCCTCCAAGAGGCACAGAAAGGAAAGCAGGGATGGAAGAGCAGTGAAGGCCCTGCTGTGACTCTGCACCAGCTGCTGAGGGGCAGGGAAGGATTCCACACAGGGCTTGTCCTTCTCAAAGTTAAAAAAATAACTTTAAATTAAAAATCTGAAGAAGGCAAAGAAACCACCCCTGAAAAGGCTGGAGCAGAGTGTTTTGAGGGACCCAGCAGAGTTCTGCCTGTTCCACTGCTTTAAAACCACCAGTGAGAAGTGCCCTGGCTGAGATTCTGCACAGGCAGAACACAGGGGGTGCAAAAGTGCTCCCTGATTTCAGGGAGGGAGAACCAAGGGGTGCAAACTGAGTCAGAACTGAAAAACCAGGCATAAATTTCTAACTGCTCGAGAAAAATTTGCATTGGCAGGGAATTTTCCACTTCTGATCTCTCCAGCTCCAGAGCAGATGTCTTTCTGGAAGATGCTTTAATCAAGAGGCTGCCAGGCTCCACAGACAGCTCTGGGGGGGAGAGGCAAACAGCCACATTATGCAGGACCAAGTAATTCCAGCAGTCACAGCTCACAGGACAGCTGAGGAGGTCTCAGAACAGGGTCAAAACCTCAGAGCAGGCTGCTCAGGGCTTTGGCCACGTCAGGCCTTGCAAACCTCCAAGGCTGAGATGGTGCAGCCCCTGTGGGCCCTCATCCCACTGCTTGGGCACCCTCATGGGGACAGAGCTCTTCCTTATATCCAGTCCCAGCTGCTGGATAAAGTTCTTAAACAAATTTGGGAGCTACAGGAGAGCTGGAGAGGGACTGGGGACAAGGGATGGAGGGACAGGACAAGGGGGAATGGCTTCTCACTGCCAGAGGGCAGGGAGAGATGGGAGATTGAGAATAAATCCTTCCCTGGGAGGGTGGTGAGGCATTGGCAGTTTGCCCAGAGAAGCTGTGGCTGCCCCTGGATCCCTGGGAGTGTCCCAGGCCAGGTTGGACAGGGCTTGGAGCAACCTGGGCTGGTGGAAAGTGTCTCTGCCCATGGCAGGGGGTGGGATGGGATGAGCTTTCAGACCCCTTCCAACCCAAGCTTTTCTGGGATTTCTGGGATTTTGAAAGTCAGACCTTAACAGGCTGAGCAGGGAAAACACAGAGTGCAGAACTCCTGGCTTAAGGAACTTCCCAAATCCCACATGTGCTCACCTGCCCAGGGAAATGAGGGAAACCAGGCACCTCTGGGGAGGTTCTGATCATCACCTCCTGTACAGACATCCCAAACCAGGCACCTCTGGGGAGGTTCTGATCATCACCTCCTGTACAGACATCCCAAACCAGGTACCTCTGGGGAGGTTCTGATCATCACCTCCTGTACAGACATCCCAGCCCCGGGATGCAAGGGTAGGGGTAGGAATTCCTACCCAGGATAAAGGGCAGGGGTAGGAATTCCTACCCAGGATAAAGGGCAGGGGTAGGAATTCCTACCCAGGATAAAGGGTAGGGGTAGAAATTCCTACCCAGGGTAAAGTGTAGGGGTAGGAATTCCTACCCAGGATAAAGGGTAGGGGTAGGAATTCCTACCTCAGGATTCAAGCCAAGCTGAGGGGTTCCTGCACTCTGGAGTCACAGGCACTGAGAATTCACTCTCACTTCCCAGTGCAGACCAGCTCCAAATTTCCCTGGAATCATCAGGATGTGCCTGTGGCTGATCTATATCCCAGCCTGCCCCTGGCACTGTCACTGCTCCATCTCTCTCCCACCCCCACAGCACCTTCAGGGCACCTTGTCTTAGACTAGAACCCCTTTAAGGCCAAGGCTTTGCCATTTGACTCACTGACTCTAACTTAAAGAAGGGGAAGAATAAAGGTGTAAGAGTATTTCAGACTGCAGTATTTCATCATCTGGGAGCTCAGCTGAGGGAGGACTCCACAAAAACAGTGAAGGACCCTAGTCAGGAACCAAAACAATGACGTGTGCTGCAGATCAGAGCTGACAGATCACCCCCAGAGCAAACCCCCCACATGGCAGGGGCTGGGCAGGGTCACCCCCTGGATCAGCCCCACAGCCCTGGGGAGTCACATCCTGCCCTGCAGGAACTACAGCTCCCAGTTTATTTCCCAGTTAGAGCTGGAAGAACAGAATTGGTGCCCAGATCAGGTCCAGTTACCACATCAAATACTTCTTTAAACCCTTCCAAACCTTGGGTTCCCCATACTTGAACCTGAAAACCCTTTCACCACCTGCACCCCCCCCCACAGAGCCAGGATGGAAATGGCTTTTTGCAAACTCCTCCTATTCCTCATGAGGTGTTTTATAAGGTGTGACAGCAAAGCAGGGATCCCAGAGCAGCCCCAGAGCCAGGGGAGGGAGGGACGTGCTGCCTTTCCCACAGGAGGTTCCTTACTTTGAGCAGCTTCATCAGCCCTTCCAGCTGCACCATCAGTTCTCTTCTGCTCTCCTGAAGTGCTGACATCCTCTGCTCCAGCTCATCCTTCCTCTGTCTGTTCCAGTCACATGGAAGAAAGAGGCAGAAAACAAACTTGGGGTATTTCAAAGCAGCCCAGGGAGCTCACCCGTGTAACGGGGTCTGTGGTTCCCGCCATTCCCCTGCTCCCCATCTAAAAACCCAGAGCAAGGCCCAGCACAGTGACCATGAACCTGAAGGTGACAATACCCCGTTCACTTCAAACCCAGAGACGTGTCCTCAGCCCCTGGCCCAGGGGAGCCCTTCTCAGGACATTGCATTTTGAGTAAAAAAACCCACTTTTTTCTTCCTTTTAAGAACCCAGAGTTGTCGGAGCCTGGCATCCTGTGGGGTGCTCAGACAAGCCAGGATGAACCACGGGAGGAAAGACAGAGAGGGGGAAAAACAAGAGGAGGACAGGCTGCAGATGTCTGGGGAGGAAGAGCTGTGCCTGCCTGGAGGAGACTCAGCAGAGCTATTTCTGTGCCGTGACGGATCAGCCGGGACACGCTCGCTGCGCCAGCACCAGGTAACAACAGCGGCAGATAAGGAGTGACCTTCCCTTTCCTTGGCAGCTGAAAACCTGTCTGGGAGCTATTTGAGGAAATATGACTGTGTGGTTTGATTTCAGATTCCAAAAAAGAAAGCAGTGACTAATAGAAGGAGCAACTCAAAGACGGACGTCAGCCCGGCGGAGGTTCCGTGTCCCGGGCGATTTAAGAGATGCCAGGGACCCACAAAGCCCAGTCACAGGTGATGAGACAAAACCCTGGGGAAAAGCAGGTTAAAAAGGCTCCTTTATTCACCCACAGTTATTTCTGTGGACACCAGAATGTCTTAATCCCAAGTTAAAGCATCACCTATTACAGACTGAACCTCCAAAAGTCTTCGATCTGTGTTCTCACACGACTCACTCTGGATAAATCATTCTGGGGGTTTCAGGAACAGACCAGTTCTTTAAAGGACAGAAGACTGTGAAATATTAACCACCCTGGATGTTTCTTGCAGCATCTTTTTGTATTTTGAGGACTGTGGTTATACAACTAAGCAGCCTTCCAGAATCTTAAGGAAGCCAGAGAGAAGGACTGGAGGAGAGGATCACCAGGAACTGGAGGGACAGGACAAGGGGGAATGGCTTTCCATGCCAGGGGGTTAGATGGGAGATTGGGAAGGAATTGTTGGCTGTGAGGGTGGGGAGGCCCTGGCACAGGTTGCCCAGAGAAGCTGTGGCTGCCCCTGGATCCCTGGAAGTGTCCAAGGCCAGGTTGGATGGGGCTTGGAGCGACCTGGGCTGGTGGAAGGTGTCCCTGCCCATGGCAGGGGGTGGGATGGGATGAGCTTTGAGGTCCCTCCCAACCCAAAGCATCCTGTGATTCACTGTTCCCGTGGTGGTGCAGGCAGGAGAAGGCAGGGACACCTGCACTGCAAGGCAGGGATCCACAAGGACACGGATCCATCCTGCTCCTCCAAGGAGGCACTGCCAGCAGTGCTGCAGCTGACTCATCCCAGGGCTGGGCTGCAGATTTTTAGACCTGGGACATGTTGACTTTCCATGGATTATCATCCTCCTGCTTTCCCAGCCTGAACTGTAGCAGAGTTTGTTGATGAGGGAGGGCTGGGGGCAGGAAAGCTGATGCTGCTTGTACATGGGAGGCTACGTGTGAGATACTACAGGGAGTGAATCCCTGAACCCCAGAATCATTTGGGCTGGAAAAGCCCTCCCAGCCCATGGATCCCCCCTGTGCCCCATGCCCACCTTGTCCCCCAGCCCAGAGCACTGAGTGCCACAGCCAGGCCTTCCTGGGACACCTCCAGGGCTGGGCACTCCAAACCTCCCTGGGCAGCCCCTGCCAGTGCCTGACCACCCTTTCCAGGGAGAAATTCCTCCTCCTGTCCCACCTGAGCCTCCCCTGGCACAGCTGGAGGCCGTTCCCTCTCCTCCTGTCCCTTGTTCCCTGGGAGCAGAGCCCGACCCCCCCCAGCTCCCCCCTCCTGTCAGGGGGTTGCAGAGCCAGAAGGTCCCCCCTGAGCCTCCTTTGCTCCAGGCTGAGCCCCCACAGCTCCCTCAGCCCCTCCTGCTGCTCCAGCCCCTTCCCAGCTCCCTTCCCTTCCCACGCTCCAGCCCCTCCCTGTGTCTCCTGTCTGAGGTCCCAGAGCTGCCCCAGCACTGGAGGTGCCCCAGCAGTGCCAACTCAGCCACAGAGGCTTTGGAGGTGGTTCTCCAGCTCTGGCTGTGCCTGGAGGTCTGAACTTCAGGAGTTTCTCTGACTAATCAAATAACCAACATTTGCTCTCAGCTCTGCTCCTTTGGAGAGGAAATGATGAGCAGTTAACGCCATTTCTGCCGGTTTTTCCCATCGGTTTCTTCTTTACAAACAGTTTTCTAAACTAAACAAACAGAATTCGTACCAAGAAACGTTTTTGTTTACTTCTAAGGCCACTTAAAAGCCCAGCTGCTGACACACAGCCCTCAGAACTCAGCATCCTCAATGCCTCTGCCAGGCTGCCCAGGGCTGCTGCTCCCAGTGCCCCCAGGGCTGCTGCTCCCAGTGCCCCCAG